TCACTTGGACGTGGGGTCTTTAGCACACTTTGTGTGTCAGAATAACTCAGAAATGCATTGTCACAGCTAACTCCATTCCAGTCTAGGCAACACGCAGCCCAAAGACAGAACAACAAATCCCTTGAAACTGGAGGTCAAAACATCTCACCTCTCCACAGAGCTCACGAAGGGCTTGTTTACCCAGAAATACAAGTCATGACAACCCTCTCTACAGAGAGACGATACATCCTGCCTCCCTGTGGACGCACCAAGTGTTTTCACTTGGCATCTTACCACACTGTTTAAATCCTTCAACTGCTTGGATGAGTTGTCTGTCCATCATCCACGCCAGATTTCACCACCATGGTAACAGACCCAATCTCTCTGTGGGCTCTTATGGAGCAGCAGGGAGCCTGGGGCAGTCTCTCGGGGTGGAGAGGCTGAAGGTGACTCTATTTCAGTGGTTCTCAATTTTTTTGGCCCAGGGACCAGCTGGTTCAGTGTCAATCTTTCTATGGACCACCAGTTGCTAATGGAAACTCACAGTTGATTACATAATTACACCTGAGCCATTTTGCTGGGGCTGCAGCTAGGGAGAATGGTTTAATTTAAATGATTAAACAGATTAAGCATGTTAAAGTTCTCGTGTTAGTTTATCAAACTTCATTTTAAATAAAGAAAAATATGAATTTATGTCCAACCCAGAAGGTTTCCATGTTTTCTTTATTTATGGCAGGGGTGGGGAACCTTTTTTGGGTTGGGGGCCACTGACCCACAAAAAAATCAGTTGGGGACCACAAAATTGAGACGCAAAAAAATCCTCCAAAACTCCCGATCCTCACTGATGTGGCCCCCAACTAAGACACCTCACTCCTCTGGCGCTTCAGCCCCATGAAGTGAGGGGAAAAGACAGGGAAGACTAAGATTCAGTGTTTCCCATAGGCCAGATTTACTTTTCTGCAGTTCCGGAGTTAGTGGATTTTCTGGGCCCACTTAGGCTTTGAGGTAGGGACAAAAGTGAGGGGTTCAGTGTGCGAGACAGGGCTGCCAGTGAGTGGGACAGGGATGGGGTGCAGGATCTGGGAGGGAGGTGAGGTGCAGAAGGGGGAGAGGTTGCAAGGTTTGGGTGGGAGGTAGGGTGCAGAAGCAGGCTGGGAGTGCAGTGTCTGGCCAGGGGGTAGGGTGCAGGAGCAACGATGTGAATGCAGGAGCAGGGTGGGTGTAGAGAGTCTGGCCAGGAGGGAGGATGCAGAGTCTGGTCAGGAGGGCAGGAGCAGGAGCAAGGGAGGTTGTCAGAGCAAGCTGGGGGTGCAGGGTCTTGCTGGAGGGAGGGGAGTGAGGGAGGGGGATTGGGATGTGAGGGTCTGGGCATGAGGGGGGATGCTTATCTGGTTTTGCGGCCCCTGGCAGCGGGGAAAGCTTTTGGACAGCACACTGCCATTCCCCCAGCGGGGTGGGGAGGGGGAGGAAAATCACATCACCACCCCCTGCACGCAGTGGGGAGCCTGTGCAGCCACCAAGTTGCAGCACCAGCTCCGACCTCCTGCTCGGAGGACGCATGGAGTGGGGGAGGTGAAGAAAGCCCCGAGCTTCCCCACCAGACCTGGATCGCAGAAAGCAGCAGAGCAAGCAGCTCCATGCGTTTCCATTCTCCCAGAGGGATGGGGGGAAGAGAGTGGCAGCGCATAGATTGAACCTGAAGTGCCCCAGATGGGCTCCGTGTGGTGGCAGCAAATCCAAGGTGCTGAGGTCCAGGAGTGGCTCCGCCGGGTTTTGCCTCGCAGCTGTGGCCACTGTAACAAAGAACACGTGGTTGCCAGGAGATGGAGGAGGAAGCGACGTGGCCGGACCAGAGGCACAGTGATGGAGCAGGAGGTGGCAGGGAGATGGGGGCTCACTGGGCGGCGGCACGCTGGAATTCGGGAAGTGCTCCAGAAACCGTGTGCCACTGGAAGCCACCTCAGCTGCCTGCTGGCAAAGCACCAAGGGAGCCACCTACATGCTCTGTGGTGGTGGAGACCACTGCTGCTGTGCCATGCTAGGGAGTGAGCCTCTGCAAGGCTCTGCCAGTGAAGAGCAGGGAAATGGGGGTGCACCGAGCCGTTTCTAGCTTGCTTCTCCCAAGTCAGATCTGGCGGGGCTTTCTGGGACATTTTACTACTTGATGGAGACACAGGAACAGACAGGGCTGGCCTTACCATGAGGTAAACTGAGGCAGCCACCTCAGGTGCCAGACTGGGGGGGGGGGGGGCACCACTAGGACCCAGAGTATAGAAAATTGTGTCTGCTGCTGGTGCATATCTATTCTCTCTGCTCTAGACGCCCAGAGATGGTGGAGTGTCATGAGAGGAGTAGAACAGGAAGAAGGCAGAATTGAGACCTTTCAAAATTTTGGCCCAAGCGAGGGGGTATGGGGCCGTCATTTGAGCTCCCGCCTCAGGTGCCAAAATGTTGTGGGCCAGCCCAGGGAACAGAGTATTTAAATTCAGAACTGTCCTGGAAAATCCAGGACGTTTGGTCGGCATAGGGGAAGATCTTGCAGCCTTTACAGTTTGAATTTTCCCTTTTTAGTACCCTCCTTCTAAGCAGTGGTGTGTTTGTGGTAGGACTCAGCAGGTGAGTAGAGTCGTAGGGTTAAGCTAAGCAGGGTCTGCCCCAAGTTATGGGTTATATTGCAGGAGCTCTGGAATCCCTGCACTGGAACTAATTGAGGATACTTGATAGATGAGCGTATGGGAGGGTTTTGTCCCTGCCCCGTGTTAAGTTTAATAAAGTTGCCGCCAACCACATAAATCCATCCCTGTGCATGTTCTCATTCACCGCTGTGTCTAAAACTACATCAAGTGAAACAGGAATACAGAGA